TATATATATATATTTGAATTCTTTCTTTGTCTTAAAAATACTGCAAATCAAATCAGTTTTTAAACTTTAGGTTTTCCACCTTTTCATCTGCAACTCTTAAGTTCTTGTACTCAGCATAGCGCTGCTGGTCATCAAAGTCTTCCAAGTTGATTTTCAGAGAATAATTTCCTGAAAAAGACAAAAGTAAATGCATAAATACTGTAGCACCATTTTAAAGGAATATTTTGAACTGTTTGGTTAAATAAAATAAAATAGAATAGAGCTCTGCAGACATAGATTCTCTGCTCCCATTGACACAGAAAGGGTTTTAAAATATGTTTTTATAAAACACTTTCCAAAGTAAGGAGGGTTTGTTTGTTTGTTTGTTTGTTTGTTTGTTTGTTTGTTTGTTTGTTTGTTTGTTTGTTTGTTTCAGTCTGTCAAGCCTGAGTCTGACTGGACTAACAAGCTAACAGCTAACTTGAATGTAGCTAAATCCAAAGTGGATCACTGTCATCAGTCAAAATGTTTTAAAACACTTAGAGCAAACTTTATTCTATAGACCTTTACAGGCCTTAATTTCAATATTTCACAGTAACTTAAATTGAATTAGTGAATTATTTTCCATCACAAACAGAAGCAGCAGCTCGATGTCACATGTTGTGTGCAGAGCCCTAAAGGCAACAACTGTTTATGCAAACATTTGATGGCAGCACTATATCCTGCAGACTACAGCTGACTTTACTAAACCAACAATTGTTTTATTTTTTTATTTCAGCTCTTCAGTTACAGAATAAAGAGTTATCTTTATTTTCATGACTATGAAAATTGTAGTAACTGAAGGCATCAAAACTATGAATTGACACATGGGAAATTAACAAAAAAGTGTGAAACAACTGGAAAATGTTTTATATTCTGGTTCTTCACAGAATGAGAAGTTGTGTCCAAACGTTTGGTCTGTATATATGAGACAAAACTGACCTTGTGTAGTTATGTGATGCAGGATTTCATTTCCAAGCCAAAATTCTGCAGTCATGTCTCCAAAACCATCTTTGTACTCTGACCACGACCTGATGATAGATAGATAGATAGATAGATAGATAGATAGATAGATAGATAGATAGATAGATAGATAGATAGATAGATAGATAGATAGATAGATAGAT